ATTGAGTCGGTACAGAATCATAGCGACCCTATGCACAAAAGAACAAAACACTGCCCGGTCCTGGGCCAACGCCACAATTTTTGTCACTCTTGACCCTATTGATGCTGCTATTTTGCCAATCCATATCACTAGGGGTTTTCCTCTTTTTCTGTGACCAAACATATTCTTCTTCAGTGACTGGTCCCTCCTAACAACATGTCCAAAGTATGAGAGACGAAGTTTGGTCATCCTGGCTTCCAAGGAGCATGCTGGCTGCACTTCTGCCAATACAGATCTGTTGGTTCTTTTGGCATCCCGTGACACTTTCAATATTCTCCTCCAACACCATAACTCAAAAGCATCAATTCTTCTACAGGCTTTGTTATTCACTGTCCAGCTTTCACAATCATATGAGGTTATTGAAAATACCATGGCTTAGGTCAGGCGCATCTTAGTCCTCAAGCTGACATCTTTGCTCATCAAAACTTTAAAAAGGTCTTGTGCAGCACATTTGCCTAATGCAATACGTCGTTTGATTTCTTGACTATTGCTTCCATGAGTGTTGATAGTTGATCCAAGAAGAATGAAGTCCTTGACAACTTCAATCTTTTCTCCATTGATAAGAATGTTGTTTATTGGTCCAGAGATGAAGATTTTTGTTTTCTTTATATTGAGATGCTCTATACGGAAGGCTGTGGTCTTTGCTTTTCATCAGTAAGTATTTTAAATCCTCTTCACTTTCAGCAAGTAAGCTTGTATCATCGGCATACCACAGGTTGTTAATGAGTCGTCTTCCAATCCTGATGCCACATTTTTATTCAAATAACCCAGCTTCTCAGATTATTTGCTCGGCATATAGGTTGAATAAATATGGTGAAAGAATACAACACTGTTGCACACTTTTCCTAATTTTAAACCATCCAGTGTTTCCATGTTCTTCTCAAACAACTGTCTCTTGGTCCATATACAGATTCCTCATGAGCACAATTAAGTGTTCCAAAATAATCATGCTTCTCAATTATGTCCACAGCTTGTCATGATCCACACAATCAAAAGCTTTTGCATAATAAATAAAGCACAGGTAAACATCTTACTGATATTCTCTGCTTTCAGCCAGGATCAATTGGACATCAGCAATGATTCCACGTCCATTCCACGTCCTCTTCTGAATCTGGCTTAAACCTCTGAAAGTTCTCTGACAATGTATGCTTACAGCCATTTCTGTATTACCTTTAGTAAAACTTTACTCACATGAGATATCAAAGACATTGTCCGATGATTGCTGCATTCCTTTGGGTCACCTCTCTTTGGAATGGACACAAGTACAAATTACTTCCAATCAGTCGGCCAGATAGTTGTCTTCCAAATTTCTTGGCAGAGATGAGTGAGTGCCTCCTGTGCTGCCTCACTTTCTTGAAGATTTCAATTTTTATTCCATCAATTCCTGGTGCCTTGTTCTTTGCCAATTCCTTCAATGTACCTTGGACTTCTTCCTTCAGAATTATTGCCTCTTGATCATATGCTACCCCTTGAAATGGCTGAACATCAACCATGTCCAGTTGGTACAGTGACTGTGTGTATTCCTTTCATCTTCTTTTGATGCTTTTTGCATCATTCAATAATTTGCCCAGAGAATCCTTCAATAACGAAAGTTGAGGCTTGAATTTTTTTCTTGTGTTCCCCAGCTTGAGAAATGCTGAACGTGTTCTTCCTTTTTGGTTTTCTGATTCTAGATCTTTGTTGTAATATTTGGCTTTATCTTCTCAAACTGATCTTTGAAATTTTCTGCTCAGTTCTTGGACCTCTTTATTTCTTCCATCTGCTTTAGCATCTCTACACTGGAGAGCAAGTTTCAGTGTCTCTTCTGTCATCCTTTTGATCTTTCTTTATTCTTGTCTTAATGACTTTTT